CAAGAAGAATGTTTGTCTATGTCTCACAGCTGGGCAATCATCCAAGACAAAAGGAGTCCTAGGAATGAAATTCACAAATACCAAGAAGCATTAAATGATCGGTACCTTTGTCAGTGAAAAAAGACAAAAGGACAAATCAGTTTTGCCATCAACGGCTACACAGTACAGCCGAATTAAATGCTTCATATCCCGTGGTTATTACACGTTGGATAATAGGTTCGAATTTTCATCGCCCTCCAAAGGATGAATTTTCCCTCACCTATAAATACCCCTCTTCACAACTAAAGAAGATGCTGGTTTTCACTCAATCTTCATCTACAAAAGCTTTGTTAACAAGTGCTATCCAAAAAGCTTTCAAACCAGTGTGTTGTTGTGAAGGTTATTTTTAAGAGTTTATCTAGACTTCAACCTCTCACAACACAAGGAAGGCTTGCATTTTATAATCGAAGATTCAAGCTTATCAAGTCAAGGTTTCACACGTTGGAAAACATCATCAATACTTTCCAACCCTCAACTCTGAAGACGACGTTGATAGAGGCGGAGTAAACTCGAGGATTTGAAAAACCTACACATTAGTTGTCCGGCTTAGTGATCAAGGATGCTAGCTTGTTTAGTTTGTACTAGGAGTAATAGAGCAAACCCTTTTACGTGTTGTGGAAGAAGAGTGGAGTAGACTTTGTTAATAGCCGAACCACTATAAAAATCTCTCTCTCACTCTCTCCTTACTTTCGTTTACCTATCTATTTGACATTGCATTCATACTGCCAAACCCTAAGTTTTTTCGTAACTAAATTGTGCAAAGTTTAATCTAAAACAAAAATACATTTTTCCGCTGCGCATAACTTCCGAAAAAGGAATTATTTTCAAAATTCGAGCAGAGTCTATTCACCACCCCCCCCCCCCTCCCGCCCCCTCTATACTCTCTTTCGACCCTACCAGGACCAACATTATTATTGTAATTTTATTTTAATATTACATTATTACATAGGGTTTATTATACTTAAACAATAATATTATCAATTATATTATAGAATATAATACCATACATATTATTACCAATTATGCAATATTACCAATTAATAGATTTTAATTAATTTCCATTTAACATTTACTAACCAAATAAACTTTACTACAAAAGTTTGGGCGAAAAAATGAAGTAGGAGGATTTTGTTTATACTTACAAAAAAAATTATTTTCCTTTTAAAATGAGTTTATGTATGTATATATATATATATATATATATATATATATATATATATATATATATATATATATAATTCATAGGCTACACAAATCCTAGACGATATGATCCTTTATTTTCACCTTAGTTACGACTGTAGGTGGAAGTAAGTCCATAAATTTAAATAAATAATATATATATCAACAAAAACAGGGATTTATAATTTTAGCTAAAATAATTCGAATCGCAAAATTTGGTACAAAACCAAAGGGTTCGAATTTATTTATGCAAAATAAATAAAAACGAAAAGAGGGTTTCCAATTTTAGATAGTATAAACGCACTAGTAAATCAAAAGAATGAGAAGGAGAAGAAATTCAAGTCGTGTGTATCACACACTCTCCTTAAAACCAACTCGCTACCTCCTGAGAGTGCTACGAGCGTTATAGCGTTAGTTTCCCAAGATAGATGGATTACAACTTTAGAGTCTCCCAAGATAAATGGATTACAACTTTAGTGTTCTTTCAAGAAAGGATTTTGAAGTTTCGAAAGCTAGCTAACTATCCGCCGACCCATAGATCAAAATTAATGGTTTCTGGATGGCATTCATGCCCATGATGGCGTGCGAGAGACAACGTCTACGAACGCTATACAATTTAAACTCTTTCTAAAAGAGTCTTGTATATATGGTGCTGCAAATCTACTTCCCAAATCAATGTGGGACAAAAGCGGGTCTACTTAAAAAATCAATTTCTCATTATCCGTTTTGAGCGTACAATATATTGATTTCAAAGTCTCACTCAGTAATTAATTTTTGGAAAAAATGGTGCTTGTGATGACCGAAATGTTCCATTGACAATAACAAAATTACTAATTTGGTCCCGAGTTAACGAATGTCTAACGGCAAAATAAAAAAAGGACCAAATTGGTTAACATTTTCAAAGTCGAGGGACTTAATTGGGCACGAAAAATTGTCAAGAACCAAATTGGTAATTTTCACAATAGTCGACGAACCATTTTAGTAATAAATTTAGGGGCTTGCCTCGATCCCTTCCAAAGTTACAAATCGGTAGTGTACCTATACTAATCATATTCATATTTAAAATTTAAAATTATATTGATATTTATGTTAATCAGCTTGGTTAGTGTGCAATCGTTATACCCTGCAACATAGCGCATACAGCATTATGCGCCCCGCGTCTCCCAAAACGACGTCATTTTGTTAAGTTATGTTGAAAGTTGCTGCGATTATGTACATTATGGTATACAATTATGTACATTTGTTTATATAATTATGTACATTTTTTATACAATTATGTACATCCGAAACAAGGAATTTAAGTGTATTATGTTAAGAGTTTATGTGTATTATGTATTATGTTAGATTACGTGTATTATGTTTTCAAAAAATGTATGTGTATTTTGTTATGCAATTATGTGCATTCTAGTATACAATTATGTACATTTTTGAAACATGAGATTTTTTTAAAAGAAAATTAACATCCACACAGGAAGCAGATTTCCGAAAAAAAAAAAAAAATCCAAAACGACGTCGGTTTGCATCCAGGGCGCAAAATGCAATGCGCGCCCCTGTGCACGATATAAATTGGGCAAATTATACTGTGCACCGAGGTGCACCATGCATTGTGAGCCCTGGCCCAAAACGACGTCGTTTTGTACCTTTTTCGAATGTACAGAATTTTATACCTGAAAACACAGAATTTTATAACTGAAAACACATAATTTTATACCTGAAAATACATAATCTTTTTTAAAAGCATAAAAATCCCCTGTTTCAAATTTACATAATTTTATACCTATAAACACAGAATTTTATAACTGAATACACATACATTTTTGTCACGTTAATTACCCACACAACTTAACAAAACAATTTGAGTATGATTAGTGTATATCGTCATGATAAGATATGTAAGTGCAAGCATGAGATTGTTGATAAGCTAAATTATTGTGAAAGTATGCCTATTTGATAATTAGGTTGCAAGCATATAGAAACCCTGTTGAGTATGTTTAAATGTAGCTTAAGTAGTGGTTTAGAATGCTTGATCTAATTGTGTGAAACAAATGTTTTCCAAAAGCATATACTATGGTATTTTACAAGGTTGAGTGGCGTTATACTTATCTTCGTGATAACGGGTTGCATTCTACTTGTTTGTTTGTTAACCCCTTTCAGGTGGGCCCAAGTCATGAGAGCGTTCGAGTTAGACTAGATTAGCTTAGTGTGCTAGTTGTAGTCTAAACTCTTACTTTAGTTATGCTATTTTGAGACTTTGGTTGTAGACTTATTTAGTTGTTTTGATGGTGCTGGACACCGGGGTTCAATCCCCAAGTTGTTTTTAAGTAGTAAGTTTGTGGATGTTTAGAACCTTTCCTTGTCTGTGCAATCACCAAGTATGGTGATTGTGGCGGTGACACCTCTTTTTGATGATTAGTAGATTTATTATGCTTGTTAGTATTCATTTCTAAGTTAAGTAATTGTTAATAAGGTTTAAGAAAAGTGGGGTATTATAGCACTACCAAGACGGTTCAAAATTGCGAACTGGATCTGAAACCGCCGGTTCACGGTTCAAGATCCAGTTTTTGTGATTCATAATTTTAATAAATTGAAATCCAAATATTGGGTTCTGGATCTGAATCATAACCGGAAACTTTCAATTCGATTGATATAGTGTCCGGTTCAGTTCGAACCGAACTATTGTCATCCCTATGTATAAGCAATAATTTGTTGGAGAACAAAAATAAATAAAATATTTACTTTAAGGGTATAAATGTCAATTTAATATATCGGGGGGGGGGGGGGGGGGGCGGAGCGCCAGTTTTAGAATAATTGAGGGGGCTAATATGCTTACATGGATAATTCAGGGGGAAAATGTGCTATAAACATATAATTCAGGGGGATTATGTACATTATGGTATATAATTATGTACATTTATTTATATAATTATGTACATTTTTTTATACAATTATGCACATTTTTGTTTTTATACAATTATGTACATCCGAAACAAGGAATTTATGTGTATTATGTTAAAAGTTTATGTACATAATTTTATACTTGAAAACACAGTATTTTATAACTGAAAACACATAATCTTTTTTCAAAAGATAAAAATCTCCTATTTCAAATTTACATAATTTTATACATGTAAACACAGAATTTTATAACTGAAAACACATAATTTTATACCTGAAAATACATAATCTTTTTTAAAAGGATAAAAATCCCCTGTTTCAAAATTACATAATTTTATACCTGTAAACACAGAATTTTATAACTGAATACACATAAATTTTTGTCAAGTTAATTACCCACACAACTTAACAAAATAATGTCGTTTTGGGAGGGATGGGGCGCACACTGCTATGTGTGCCTTGGTGCACGGTATAACGATTGAATGTTAGGACCTGCTCAGGATATTTCGTGGTCTAACAAAAAAAAAAAAAACACATTGTCAAAGTAATAAGTATATATAGTTTCTAATTCTGAAATAAATGGACAACCTTACTAATATATATATTTTTTTGTTTGAAAGTTGTGACAAACGGTCTCCTTGAGCATACACAAAATCCATGCAGACCTATATTCGATTGGGGGCCACGTCAGATGAAAGAGAGTGCATGATCCGTTGCTCATACTGCCAGCTGCCTCCGTACACTGCATGAGGGTACGCCACTACCCTCTGTGCACTACTAAAAATAAAAAGGAAAAGATTCCGTTATCCCCAACGAAACGAGAGATATCGCATAAGGTGGTGTGCTTATTAAGAGAGGAGTAGAAAGTAAGAGACTTACTGTGTGATATGATGGCTGGTACTAGTAGCGAGAAGAAAGCAATGGAGGTGTGTAAGGGTATGAATGACCTCGACAAAGTTGTTCTTAGGGAGGTTAACGGCAGCTCCGCCGAGGTAGCAACGCCGGCCATTTCTCTCCGATTCATCTTTAATTTATTTCTCTCCGATTCAATATTTTCTGACATCTTTAATTTATTTCTCTCTGATTCTGGCCTTCTTTTCATGTTTAGGTGTATCTCTATGGGGGCCATGTAACTTCATGGAAGAATGTTCATGGAGAAGAATTGCTCTTTCTGAGTAGTAAGGTAGTTTGATGAGCGAGCTCAATTTCTCTTTTCATGTGATCGAATGAAGTTTAAGTCATCCTTATTATATGCTTTGCAGGCCACTTTCAACCCTCCACACCCAATTCGTGGAGGTATCGCTATATGCTTTCCTCAGGTATTATATATATATATATATATATATATATATATATATATATATATATATATATATATGATCTTCAATTCCTATCTTCAATTCTCTCATCACTTAATTACACTAACCGCTAGCTTTCTGTTTGCAGTTGGCAGAGCATGGACCTCTTAAGAAACTACATGGATTTGCTAGAAACAGTTTTTGGAGCATTGACGAGAAACCTCTCCTAGAAGCACCGGAAAACTCTAAAGCATTTGTTGACTTGATACTGAAGCCCTCTGAAAACGACTTGAATATCTGGCCTCACAGGTTCGAATTGGTGCATTGATTACTTTTTGGTTAACTTATAATATATATTTTTTCCACACTAATTTAGAGAGAGCGCTGGTTTTTTTCTAGGTTTGAATTCCGATTGAGGTTAACATTGAAATCTGGAGGAGAATCAGGACATCTTATACTAATATCTCAAATAGGAAACCTCAACACTGCTGGAAAGTCCTTCGACTTTACATTTGGGTATCACACCTATCTCCCTGTTTCATCAGACGACATAGGGTGAGCACTTACTTAATTAGTACATCTCATCCATTCCATCTTTAATTTTCTTGTATGTATGCCTTGAGTTCATGAATCTCATTTGCAGTTATATGTGTTTTTGTTTTTACATGCTGATTCGATCCATCTCATCTGTACAATATAATATATATATATATATATATATATATATTGCTGATCTGAGAAAATTAAAGGATGACATTTGCAATATAATTATTCAAATTTTTTAAGGAGCTAAAGAAATAAATAACCGGATTATTAATTGTTATAATTTATGTCTAGATCAGAGTATACTATACTATACAATGCTGCCTTTTAGATTAATTCCATCTTTATTACCAGGCCAATTTTGTGTTTCATCAAGTGTATTAAGTTCATACTGTCTATCTTTAAGGACAAGTGATCAATCGAACCTTGGATGTTTAGTTTTTGATGTGACAATATAATGATATGATGCTGCTATTTTACTTGTAGTAGTACTTGTGCTGCTCATGTCACAGTAAGTCTTTGGAAAAATCATATTTCTCAACCATGCGTTATAATTCTTGTAACAGTTCTGTTCGTGTTGAGGGGCCAGACACAATGCATTGTTTTGATAAGTTGCAGAAGGGGGAGCTGAATACTGAACAATATGATGCTGCTATTAAAATTGAAGGACAAGTAAGGATTTTAGGAATTTTCATTGTGTCAAGTATTGTATTTGCTGCCTTTACCATGTCTCTCATTTGGAACACAATTTTACATAGGTGGATAAAATATATCTAAACACTCCAACAAAAATTGCAATCATTGATCATGAAAGCAATAGGACATATGTGATGAATAAGGGTGGACTTCCTGATGCAGGTAAGATCTATATTTATTTTTTCATGAAAGCTAAGCTAAGCTAGGGTGATTTATTCTTTCTTGATGGATGAGGTGTATAAATTAAAGGATATTTTAGCTTAATTAGCTTAGCTTGCTGGGGTTGGTTTTCACTGAAATTCTTAATTTTCTATTAAGGAAGGGTATTTGATATGCAAATAAAATATCCATCTGCCAATTCAATTCGATCTGTTAAATAGTTTTTTTCTAACATGACTGAATGACTGATTATTAAGTTTCTACATTTCATTTTAAGTGTTGTGGAATCCTTGGGACAAGAAGGTAAAGAAAATCTCGAACCTTGGAGATAATGAATATCAGAAGATGTTGTGTGTGGGAGCTGCTGCTGTGGAAAAACCCATCACTTTGAAAGCCGGTGCGAAATGGAAAGGATGGCAGGAACTGCATATTGAGAATTCAAGCTATAACAGCGGAGAGCTTGACCCTCAGGGCAGCTGAAACATGTTTGTGCTGGCTGGCTTATATCATTGCATGTCCAGGTATATCTCGATCTATATATTTCAGAAAATAGCTTTCTATTCTACCTTAGCTTGTGAATATATATATATATATATATATATATATATATATATATATATATATTCAGGATAGATAAATGTGCACTTTTGGTTTGTTGATGACTGGATTGGACAAAGTGATGATTGTGGTTTATGTGTTATACAATATGTTTATATATGGACAGATAGAAAAACTGATCGAAATTGGAATGTAAACTTAAATATATAAATGCCTAGCTAATAATGTCGATTAAGTAAAATCATGTGATGCATATATGGATAAACAAATTGAATAAAATGTGGAGATGGAAAGGAGTGTTAATTTGAAATGTGACTTGAAACTTATTTATTTCACTGCATCTGCATGCTTAGCTTCCATTCCATTTTGGAGTAAAATTAGTGAGTCCAATGTCATATCCCACACTAACCATTATATTGCTTAATTAGGCACTATCCTATCAGGAGGAGTTAAAGTGTTTTTGGAATAAGGTTCTAGAAGCAAAGCAAAGGAGGCTTGCTTTAATTTTATGTGAAAATTAATTAGATGAGGTCCGATTGATCCTTTAATTTAAGTGTTTAATATATGTCCCTTAGCATAACTTAGATGGAGAGACATACATTCTTATATCCAATCCTCTGGTTCTTTTGTATTTGTATTATTTTATTAAACTTCATACTCAACTTTATATTGCTAGCTAGGTTAGGTTGAATACAATATTTTGTAATTCCGATCCATTATTTTCTATATATACATCATTAACAAACTTCATATATAGTTAACTTTATGTTCACTGGATCCCAAATTAAATTAAGTTGCCACTTGGAGGTAGACTTTAATTTTGTCCTTTTATTGCACCGTCACTAATTTTGTTTAAACTTGATCATGTGTCGTATTTCCTCTTTTTTACTACTTTGGCGGAATATAATAATTTTGTATGAGGCCGGGATTTCTCAAATAAGTTATGTGAATATTCAAAGAGTTGCTCCCTTAAATTAGCCTTTCATTAAGTCTCTAAGTGTATCTTGGAGCTAGGCTTTACTCTCTCTCTCTATATATATATAGTGTATAGTTTTGACATTATTATTTTCCCTTTATTCCTTTACCTTTCCATATTCTCCTTATAAAAATTTTCCAATTTGATCAGATCAATTTGATTCATTCCTTTGACAGCTTCAGTATATTGATTGATAGAATTGTTTTACTTATTGCTTCAAACTGTTTGAATAATTCGCGATCCTTCTTTTCTTCTCTTCTCTTATACATATTACAAACTTATTTTAGAAACAATTACATTTGTCTGATCTGCTTTTAATATAGTTTTGGTATTGTCTTTTGTAGCTGCTCTGCTGGCTGCTGCAATTTATGTTGCGAAGCTAAGGGAATACAATTGCAATCTATTGTTTTACATTTCCCTTAATATCACATTTTCTCTACAACTTGGATTTGAGTACTCAAGACTGAAATAATATTTTGGTGTTATAGATCTTTCGAAGAACAATTCTATGCATATTCTGAATTTTGTTATCTTTCTATACTTTCGAGGATCATATCAATTCTATACATATTCTGAACATTTACCAGAAAATACTTCATTTGCCATATATGTTCTGCATTAGTTCATGTGTTCCGTATGGAATGTTTTTATTTGATTGGTGATATTATATTTAGGTGCCATTTGGTTAATATTATATTATTATTATAATATCGCTATTGGAGTGGAGTATTATATGATTTTTTTAAGGTTCATATATAGAAATGATTTTTAAATTTATATTTAGTTGCAAATATTTATATTTTTTGACAATACTAGTTTCTTTTTTTTTTCTTTTTTTTTTTTGTCTAGTTTTAACTATTGGATGCACTGATTTTTTTGATTTTGTTTTTTGGTGACTGAAAGAAACTTATAGAGTCATTATTTGAGGAAAGGAAAGAATGAAAAAAAAAAATTTTTAAAAGTTTCATTAATCTCTATTTTACATTGCTATTAATATCTTGGTGTTATCTTTCGAGGATCAATTCTATAGATATTCGGAATTCTGTTATCTTTCTATACTTTCGAGGATCATATCAATTCTATAGATATTCTGAACATATACCACAAAATACTTCATTTGCCATATATGTTTGCATTAGTTCATGTGTTCCGTATGGAATGTTTTTATTACAGTGGTGATATTATATTTAGGTGCCATTTGGTTAATATTATATTACATAATATCGCTATTGGAGTATTATATGATTTTTTAAGGTTCATATATAAAAATGATTTTAAATTTATATTTAGTTGCAAATATTTATATTTTTTAACACTAGAATCATGCTCGAAAAGTTTCTTACTCGGTACTATTTGTAGTCTAAACATTCTAAAAAATTTGTTGAGCAACGCGTGTATCATTACTGTACGTAGTCATGTCATCCAGGGCAATTCACAGTGAAATTTGCCCCTCCATGAATGTATATGACATATAAGACATGTCCAATCTTGCCCATCTATATCACTAATTAGTAAATTTGGGGTGTGGTTGAGTGGAAGGAACTCATTCATCCTTTTTTTTTTTTTTCTTATATTTTTCCTCTTCCCTACTCATTCTCTTTCACACCAAAAAACCTAGACTCATCATGTGGTTGCTCTTAAGCGGTTAACTAATTCAAAAATTGATATACCATGGCCAAGGGTCCAAGGTAAACCTTTAATTTATTTAAAACTGATGTGTCTACTGTTAATATAATATGTGCTTTCAGTTAATAAATTACTCTGTAAATAATGAATTGAAGACAGATAAGAGTAAATTACACTTTTGGTCCTGCGACTATTGAGGTTTTATTAATTTCAATCCACGACTTTAAAAACTAATAATTTAGTACCCTAATTATTCAATTTGTATCAATTTTGGTCCATTTGGTCAAATTGCCAGAAAATACCAGAAAATACTTCATTTGCCATATATGTTCTGCCATGCATTAGTTCATGTGTTCCGATCTGTATGGAATGTTTTTATTAGAGTGGTGATATATTATATTTAGGTGCCATTTGGTTAATATTATATTACATAATATCGCTATTGAAGTATTATATGATTTTTTTTAAGGTTCATATATAGAAATGATTTTTAAATTTATATTTAGTTGCAAATATTTATATTTTTTGACACAACTAGTTTCGTTTTTTTGTCCTAGCTTTACTATTGGATACACTGATTTTTTATTTTTTTTTGGCGACGAAAGAAACTTATAGAGTCATTATTTGAGGAAAGGTAAAAATGAAAAAAAAAATTTCTTTAAAAGTTTCATTGATCTCTATTTTACATTTTCTTTACAACTTGGATTTGAGTACTCAAGACTGAAATAATATTTTGGTGTTATCGATCTTTCGAAGATCAATTCTATACATATTCTGAGTTCTGTTATCCTTCTATACTTTCGAGGATCATATCAATTCTATACATATTCTGAACATTTACCAGAAAATACTTCATTTGCCATATATGTTCTGCATTAGTTCATGTGTTCCGTATGGAATGTTTTTATTTGTTTGGTGATATTATATTTAGGTGCCATTTGGTTAATATTATATTACATAATATCGCTATTGCAGTGGAGTATTATATGATTTTTTTAAGGTTCATATATAGAAATGATTTTTAAATTTATATTTAGTTGCAAATATTTATATTTTTTGACAATACTAGTTTCTTTTTTTTTTCTTTTTTTTTTTTGTCTAGTTTTAACTATTGGATGCACTGATTTTTTTGATTTTGTTTTTTGGTGACTGAAAGAAACTTATAGAGTCATTATTTGAGGAAAGGAAAGAATGAAAAAAAAAATTTTAAAAGTTTCATTAATCTCTATTTTACATTGCTATTAATATCTTGGTGTTATCTTTCGAGGATCAATTCTATAGATATTCGGAATTCTGTTATCTTTCTATACTTTCGAGGATCATATCAATTCTATAGATATTCTGAACATATACCACAAAATACTTCATTTGCCATATATGTTTGCATTAGTTCATGTGTTCCGTATGGAATGTTTTTATTACAGTGGTGATATTATATTTAGGTGCCATTTGGTTAATATTATATTACATAATATCGCTATTGGAGTATTATATGATTTTTTAAGGTTCATATATAAAAATGATTTTAAATTTATATTTAGTTGCAAATATTTATATTTTTTAACACTAGAATCATGCTCGAAAAGTTTCCTACTCGTTACGGTACTATTTGTGGTCTAAACATTCTAAAAAATTTGTTGACCAACGCGTGTATCATTACTGTACGTAGTCATGTCATCCAGGGCAATTCACAGTGAAATTTGCCCCTCCATGAATGTATATGACATATAAGACATGTCCAATCTTGCCCATCTATATCACTAATTAGTAAATTTGGAGTGTGGTTGAGTGGAAGGAACTTATTCATCATTTTTTTTTCTTATATTTTTCCTCTTCCCTGCTCATTCTCTTTCACACCAAAAAACCTAGACTCATCATGTGGTTGCTCTTAAGCGGTTAACTAATTCAAAAATTGATATACCATGGCCAAGGGTCCAAGGTAAACCTTTATTTAAAACTGATGTGTCTACTGTTAATATAATATGTGCTTTCAGTTAATAAATTACTCTGTAAATAATGAATTGAAGACACATAAGAGTAAATTACACTTTTGGTCCTGCGACTATTGTGGTGTTATTAATTTCAATCCACGACTTTAAAAACTAACAATTTAGTACTCTAATAACTATTCAATTTGTATCAATTTTGGTCCATTTGGTCAAATTGCCAGAAAATACCAGAAAATACTTCATTTGCCATATATGTTCTGCCATGCATTAGTTCATGTGTTCGGATCTGTATAGAATGTTTTTATTAGAGTGGTGATATATTATATTTAGGTGCCATTTGGTTAATATTATATTACATAATATCGCTATTGGAGTATTATATGATTCTTTTTTAAGGTTCATATATAGAAATGATTTTTAAATTTATATTTAGTTGCAAATATTTATATTTTTTGACACTACTAGTTTCCTTTTTTTGTCCTAGCTTTAACTATTGGATACACTGATTTTTTATTTATTTTTTTGGCGACGAAAGAAACTTATAGAGTCATTATTTGAGGAAAGGAAAAAGTGAAAAAAAAAATTTCTTTAAAAGTTTCATTGATCTCTATTTTACATTGCTATTAATATCTCCTCACAAAATCATTCGGCTACTCAACAATGGGTAGAATCTTAATTTGTTCGAAATCCCCTAAATCATTGCATTGTTTTGATAAGTTGCTGAATGGGAAGCTGATTACTGAACAATGCGATGCTGCTATTAAAATTGAAGGAGAAGTAAGGATTTTAGGAATTTTCATTGTGTCAAGTATTGTATTTGCTGCCTTTACCATGTCTCTCATTTGGAACACAATTTTACATAGGTGGAATTTACATATTTTCTGCTCTCTAATATTGCTTCACCATTAATGGGAATTGAGCAATTTGATCCCCCTGTTTCTGGGCATCAATTTGTTTTGAAGATTAATCTTCCAAAATTTAACATGTTCCAGGAATCCACCGCCTACCGGGGTGGCATGAACTTCCGCGCACAAATATGGTCCTATTTTATCACTCTTTACAACTTGAGGTCAAGATATTTTTTTAATGGTGGAGAGTGATACACCAAAAAGAAATAAATAATTGGTCGCTCAATTAGGTGGAAGTCTAAAATGAAATAATCAATTTGGAGGTAATATTAGATGAGAATTGATCACATATTAGTAGAAGGAAATTATGTATATTAGAATAAAAGATCATTACCTTGTATAGTTAATTATTAGTATAATATTAGTAGCATAATTATTATTGGTGTTAGTAATATACTATCAATAGATCCATTGTATATGAATATTAAGGGCGTGTATTTCATGAACGCGTGTATCATTATTGTACGTAGTCATGTCATCTGGGGCAATTCACGGTGAAATTTGCCCCTCCATGAATGTATATGACATATAAGACATGTCCAATCTTGCCCATCTATATCATTAATTAGTAAATTTGGGGTGTGGTGAGTGAAGGAACTCTTTCATCTTTTTTTTTTTTCTTATATTTTTCCTCTTCCCTACTCATTCTCTTTCACCCAAAAAACCTAGACTCATCATGTGGTTGCTCTTAAGCAGTTAACTAATTCAACAATTGATATACCATGGCCAAGGATCCAAGCTAAGGTAAACCTTTATTTCAAACTGATGTGTCTACTGTTAATTAATATGTGCTTTCAGTTAATAAATTACTCTGTAAATAATGAATTAAAGACGCATATTATATTAACTGCATGCACATAATGTGTAGTTAACATATTATGTGCCTACAATTAACCTATTATGTATATGTAGTTAACATATTATGT